CTACCCAATTTATTGATACCAATCCAGATAGCTATGCAGTCAGGGAGGAGTGTGCTTGGCATCCCACAGATGTCGCTGAACTTAAAAAATTCTGGGCTCTTACAATTCTCATGAGGATTATAAAGAAGCCATCAATTTGCTCTTACTGGAGCACCAACCCAATCTGTTCTAGTCGAGTGTACTCTCAAACCATGTCTAGAACAAGATTTGAGCTGCTGCTGAGATACTTACATTTCAATGACAATACCCTCTGTCACCGCAGAGATCACACCCAATATGATAGGCTTCATAAAATACACCCACTGGTAGACCATCTTCAGCACAAATTTACTGAAGTTTATACTCCTCAAAAATTTTTATCTATTGATGAATCGTTAATGAAATATAAAGGGAGATTAGGATTCAAACAATACATCCTCTCAAAGCGCTTTAGGTATGGCGTAAAATTCTACAAACTGTGCGAGAGCGAAAGTGGCTATACATTTGCCTTTCGTATATATGAGGGGAAAGATGGTCAACTGGACCCTCCTGGCTGTACTGACTCTCTGGGGACAAGCGGGAAACTTGTTTTTGACTTACTGATCCCCTTGTTCAATAAGGGTTACCACCTTTATGTGGACAATTTTTATAGCATTGTCTGTTTGTTTCAAACTCTTTAGGGTTTCTAGATACTGGCCTGTGGCAGTGTGAGAAGATATGCCAAGGATTTCCCCAGACCTTTAATAGAGGCCAAAAAAAAAAAAAAGTGAATGTAAAGGTCTGCACAAAGCTAAAGTGCTTGCAATAAAATTTAAGGACAGGAAGGATGTTCACATGCTAACAACCATCCATAACGAGGGCATGTCAGACGTCACTGTCCGAGGCAGGGTACAGACAAAACCGGTGTGCATCAGGGCTTATAACAGGCACATGGGGGGTGTTGATTTGGCTGATCAGCTGATGCAGCCATATCTTATCTTAAGAAAGACAAAAGCCTGGTATAAAAAGGTGGCTATCTACCTGATGCAAGTAGCAACACATAATTAATTTTTACTCTTTAAAAAAAAATGAATTCAGAAAGAACCACCTTTCTCCAATTTTAGTTCAAGCTGATTTCCACAATAATTTATGGAGATGGTCAAGTTCCAACAACGGTGCCAAAGGAGTCCAGACATTTTATTTTTAAGATACCGCCAACTGCAAAAAAAAAACAAATCCCCTGAAATGTTGCTGGGTCTGTTATAAAAAAGGAAAAGGACACTGTTTTTTTTTCTTTTGAAAACAGCAAATTTTAGTTAGTCAGTTTCCTTCCCCCCAAATCTCCAATTAGATTCTTTTTGCAGGAGTTAGTTTAGAGAATGCTGCTAAAGGTGCATTTGATACCTGCACATTTGGTTAAAAAAGTTTTATGGTAGTAACATATAACTGGCTGGCCAAAACCAGATGACGTGTGCATAAAAAGCAGAATTAAAAAATTACCACCATGCACGTTCTCTGAAATTTGTTTAGCACAATGGTTGGGGGAAGGATGTGAAAACACCTCATATACAATACTCTGGAATGTCTACTTTATAAAAATATAAACTTTCATGATGTTAACATTAACGGGGGGATGCAAAAATATGCCAAACTGAAGATAGGCCAAGCATACCTATATATCAAGTTGAAAAACTGATATGTACAAGTCTTGAATGTGGCCTTTTAGCCCCCAAACAACCCAGCAAACCTATGCATGGGTGATGTCACTGTACTCAGGAGATGTTGCTGAACACATATTGGGGTGTTGTTTGGCAGTGATACATAACAGGATCTCTTAATTCATGCCTAAAGTACAATGTATGTGTAAAAAAACATGAAGAAAATTACTACCCAAAAGTTTGGTGGTAGAATTATTGCATGAAAAGTATTAAACTACCACCATTTAAAATACCCTGAGTTGTCTACTTTTCAAAAATATATGGTTTGATGGGGGTAAAATACATTGGCCCAAATAGGACAGGGGCACTGGTTTACTACATGTCAAAATTCCAAGTTGAAAAATGGATATGTGCACCTGCCAAATGTGGCCTTTTAGCCCCCAAACAATCCGACAAGCCTATGCATGGGTGGTATCACTGTACTCAGGAGATGTTGCTGAACACATATTGGCGTGTTGTTTGGCAGCAAGACATAACAGGATCTGTAAGTTTATACCTGAATTGCAATGTATGTGAAAAAAACAAAAAAAACAACTATCTATGCAAAGTTTGGCAAAGACTTGTGGTAAAATGGCTGCATAGAAAGTGTCAAAATATCCTTAGATGAATACCCTGGGTTGTCTACTTTAAAAAAAATATATACATGTGGAGTGTTTTCCAGAGATTTATGACAGATAATAGTGTTACAATGTCACTATTGATACATTTTAAAAATGTTTGTTTTGAAACCGCCATATCCTACTTGTACCTATAGCCCTATAACTTGCAAAAAAAGCAAAAAAGCATGTAAACACTGGGTATTTTTAAACTCAGGACAAAATTTTGAATCTATTTAGCTGTTTTTTTCATTCGCTTTTGTAGATGAGTAAAAGATTTTTCAAGTAAAAGTCAAAAAACATGTATTTTTTTCAATTTTTCATCATATTTTTTATTTTTTTTAAATTAAAATACATGAGATTATATAAATAATGGTATGTAAAGAAAGCCCCTTTTGTCCTGAAAAAAACAATATATAATTTGTATGGGAACAGTAAATGAGAGAGCGGAAAATAACAGCTAAACACAAACACCAGAAAAGTGTAAAAATATTCCTGGTTGCAAATGTACAACATCGCAAAAACAGTCCAGTCCTTAAGGGGTTAAACATTACCATGCTTTGTTTTGGAAAAAACAGGTCTCCTTCACTCCTGGGAGATGCACTTAGACAGGTTCAGTAACACCTGCAATCTATCTGAAGTGGTAACGTGTTAATTGCTTATCCTGAAACACCTGTGGGAGAAGGAATCTAATACAAAGCCAAAAGCAGTATGTTTCCTTATCTACTTCATTAAAAAAAACGTAAATAGAAAATCCACAGTAGGCAATAGTTACTTACCCAGTACAACAGTGCATTTGTATTTTCTAGAATTGGGCAGTGCTACATTTCAGTGCAAAACAGACCTTCGATCATTTGTATATATTAAATCTACCAAGGCTGTGTATAAATTAGGGTTATATAATGCTACCAATCTGCATACAGATTATATGAAATCACATACATTGTGGATGTTTCTAACAGCACCTTATGCACAGATATATCAGTTACATATACGGAGTCTGTTTAAACAGTAATCATACATAAAGAATCGAAATAGGATCAGCGCTAATAGTGCCACAAATAAAAAAAATATATATGATAATGAAAAGGCAGCACACCTATAAATTAATTAGAACAGAAAAAAACAAAGAAAAAAGACACACCTTTAATGCAGTATGTATAAAATGAACACCTAAAATAACGTTGTAACGGAACCGCTGGCACCCCGACCGGGTACCTTCCGCCGACGGATGCTCCTAGTGCTTTCTGAGGACTCCAAGCACTCTGCCTGACACCATAACCACTGCAGACCCCACGAACCGCCGCAGCTTGGTTGGGGTCTCGCCGTCTCCACCCACTCTGGACCCAGGACCAGGGTCCAGCTTCCAGCAGGTCGACCTCTCTCCGAATTCCAGAGAGCAGGAACAGGAACAAGCTCTTAGTAGAGCTTAGTGATTATACCCTGGGGAGTATAGTGATTATAGCAATCCCCAGAGTGTAGTTTCTCCAATCCCCCAAACATGAGCCGAAACTTCATGAAGGTACAAGATGATCTGACTCCAATGAGCGTTTATTACTGCTTATATACAAGTTTTCAGGTCAGAGGCACACCCCTGGACCTGGTGGTAAACTGTGACAAAAGGGACACAAACCAATGGGAACACTAATTAACATGATAACACTCTCACATACACAATGAAATCCCTCCTCTCCATCCTGGAGATAATTGGCTTAAGGCACTGCAGTAAACTCAATTATCTCCAGGTACAGAAAATATCTACATTTAACACTAACAGCAAAAATACGTAAAAGTACATAAAAATACATCATTCTTATTTTATTACACAGAACCCCCACATTTAACCTATCCCCAGATAGCTCGGATCTGAGCGCCCAATCTAGGTGAACAATAGACAGGAAACGGGGGAGGGGAAGAAACACACCTTCCCATGGATTCCAATGGGAAGAAACTGTCTTTAGAAGCCAATAAGCCCCAAATAGTCTTTTTTAAATGGCAATACACCCCAGGGCCATAGTCATGAGGAAGGAGGCTGGCAATCAGGCTCCTCCAAAAGCCGGGGGCAAAGGGCAGCTTGTCACCTAACAATCCAGGGACAAAAGGCATTTCGTCACAAACGTATAGCTAAAAATTTAAAATAAAATTAAAGTTAAAAGTCCAGGGTAATAGTCCACAATAAATGAAGAGAATTCTTGAAGAATAGTGATGATTTGTCCCAAATGAAGACTTGTGTTTTCAATGAGCCATATGTGGAGAGAAGTAGAGAGGAGATCCAATGGTACAGTATGTAAGTTTATATGAATATATATAAAATAAATTGGTATTACTCACAATTTCCAGAGCTAAAATTCAGCTCTGGTATGAAGTGCATGAAGTGGAATGATCCCCACTCAAGGATATATGGAGTTGTAGCTTGAAATTAGGTGGTCCACTGGGGATTCTGACCGAAAATTAAAACAGACAAAAAATATAGTGCTCACTGAATAACATGAATATAGATTAAAAGGAAGTATGAAATGTACTCACAATATATTGAGCAAACCTTACTCCTCAATTTGTAGAGTGTGGGTGGTATAATCCCCACCTAAGGATTCTTTTGGCGTTTCATAAAATGGTGTTGATCCAAATAGTCAGGTTTAGAGCTAAAAAATAAAATAGGAATGTGGCAACTAAAATGTTTGGGGCCAAAATTCCTTTATTATAACAATATAAAAAGTAGTAAAACAAATTCTAGACGCGTTTCGCCCACAACAGGCTTCTTCAAGTAGAATATAGTAAAAACTATATTCTACTTGAAGAAGTCTGTTGTGGGCGAAACACGTTGAGAATTAGTTTTTTAAATTTTCAATTTATAATAAAGGAATCCCCGGTGGACCACCTAATTTCAAGCTACAACTCCATTTATCCTGGAGTGGGGATCATTCCGCTTCACGCACTTCATACCAGAGCTGGATTTTAGCTCTGGAAATTGTGAGTAATACCAATTTATTTTATATATATTCATATAAACTTACATACTGTACCATTGGATCTCCTCTCTACTTCTTTCCACATATGGCTCATTGAAAACACAAATCTTCATTTGGGACGAATCATCACTATTCTACAAGAATTCTCTTCATTTATTGTGCACTATTACCCTGGACTTTTAACTTTAATTTTATTTTTAATTTTTAGCTATACATTATTTTGTGTGTTCATTTTATACATACTGCATTAAAGGCGCGCCCTTTTTCTTTGTTTTTTTTGTTCTAAGTAATCATACATAGCCTACATCTGCTATATACAGTGCCACTATGCCTGTACCCATATTATGATTATATGAGTGAGATAAATTGAGGCTGTGTTTTAACAGAAATTCATGCACATATTATACCACTCACATATACTGAGGTTGTGACTAACAACCCACACATAGAACTTGTATTAGATTGGACTCATATAGCGGATCTACTTATATCATTCACATATATTGTGTTTCCACTAATACATCAATCATATAGAGAACAGATACACTGAAGCATTGTCTCCACACCATCTTACCTATAGAGCATGTAGAGGACATATACTGAGGCTGTGTTTTCACAGCGACTCTGAGCATATAAGAACACACACTGAGGCATATTCTCCAGATCAACTCATACATAGACAATATAGTGGACACATATATTGAGGCTGTGTCCTCATAGTAACGCATACACAGAGCATCTAGTGGATACATATACTGAGGCAGAGCCCTCATTGTAACTCATACATAGAGCCTATAGTGTGTTAGATCATATAGTGAATATATATATATACTGAGGCTGTGTCCTCACAGTAACTCTTACATAGAGCATATAGTGGATATATATATATATATATATATATATAAACTGAGACCGTGTCCTCTTAGTAACTCCTACATAGAGCATATAGTGCATATATATATATACTGAGGCTGTGTCCTCATAGTAACTCATACATAGAGTATATAATGGATACATATGCTGAGGCCGTGTCCTCATAGTAATTCATACCTAGAGCATATACTGGACACACATTGAGACTTCATACCAATTCATACATTAGAGCATATAGTGGAAACATACCGATGCTGTACCACCACCAGCTCATACAGATACTGAGGCCCAGTGGTCTCCTGTGCAGTATATTCTTCCACTGTCTGCAAAGCCTTCTTATTTGTGATAATGCACAGATAACAGCAATCAATGCCACATACCTTGATAGAAACAAGTGTGTGTGTGTGGACTTAGAGTTAGGTTTTTAAAACCTGTCATATACATGTGTGTACTTCAATCAGACACGCAAGAAGGTTCTCTTACCTTGGTTATTTCTATGTCTTCAAGCTGTGGAATTCCAGCAGACTATATACAGCCAGGATATCAATCATTAGCACTCTTTTTCACAATGTCTAATTGCATTATCAGCACTCCTTTGCACAATGCCTCCTTGCATTATCAGCACTCTTTTTGCATTATCAGCACTACTTTGCCCAATGCATACTTGTATTATCAGCACTCTTTTGCACCAAGAATCCTTATAACCTTACCTAAATGCTCACCACACAAATCTCCTAAATGTGACCTATTTGTTAGAACGAAGCCTAATGTAAGCAGCAGGGAGGGACTGAAAGAACAGAGACCCAGGTGCCTATACTAGTTTTAGTCTAAATTACTAATGCACTTACCTGAACCGTTGCAGGCCTGTGTTTCAGCGGCAAAATGGGGATTTAAACAACTGACAGCCTAAACTGTTTAAACTAAAGGCTTCCATCTGTACCCCATATGCCGTTCATCATCACCATACAAGGTGGAATACATAGAATAGATATACCCTAGTAGTCACAACTCTGTTGGGCCTCATGTATGCAGTGTACCGCTGTCATCCCCTCAGGGAGAAAGACAGGTTAGACTCCTGATTGTTGAAGGAGGTACCCAGGCTGGCAACTCTTATACATGTGCTGTTTGCTGGGTCTTCAGGGATAAGGGCTTAGACTCAACTGGGCCTCATGTATGCAGTGGACTACTGTCATAAATTCCGAGAGAGATAGGACAGACCCCTGGTTGCTGAAGTAGGAACCCAGGCTGGCAACTCTTACCAGTATGCTGATTGCTGGGTCTTCAGGGGTAAGAGGCTGAACCCTGGCCTGGCTTCATGTAGGCAGTATATCACATACATCCCCTGAGAGGGTACCCAAGCTGGCCTGTTGCTGGGTCTTCAGGGATAAGAGGCTGAACCCTGGCATGCAGTGGACCATTTTCATCCCTTTCAGGGAGAGGTTGGGTCCAACCCCCGGTCACTAAAGGGGGTACCCAGGCTAGCAACTTTTCATCTTAGTGCTTAGAGGCTGAACCCCGGCATGGCTACAAAAATATTGCCTGGTGAGCATAAAAGAAAAAAATCTAGGTCTGCATAAGCAGGCTCCTTCCAAACTGCTCTGAAGGAAAGGAAAAAAGACTGCCTGATGGGAAGGGGGATGATCTATTTATACCAGTTTCAAAGTTCTATTTCCTGTCCTTTCTCCTGTAATGGAAGGAGCTAACCCATGAGTAAATGCTGCCATGAATAATGGTCAGGAAATATATATATGTATATACTATTTACAAGCTACAATGTAACTCTCAAATGGCGGTAAATGTAACAAAAATATAAAAATATGCTAGCTACATATGTTCCTAAGCAGCTGGGAGTTTTATATAAATGACCGTTATCTTAAATAAAGCTGTATTACATGCAAAGACTTTTCACAGGAAAAAAAGAAGAGTGGATTTTGGTGTTTATAGGCCTAAACTAACAAAATGTGTAGTTGATAAATGAACAGTATGATATAGACCAAAGCTTCGCAAATGTGGTTCCTCAAATGTTCTAGAACTTCAGTTGCCATGATGCTTTGCTAGCCTTTAAAACATCAGGGGATCTACCATTTGCCCAGCCGCAACATAGACTGTACAAACAGTTATAATAGTAATAAAGATTAGGAAGATAATGCTTTGTATAGTTTCCTTGAAATTTATCATAATAAACATGATAGCCAACTACAATTAGATGTAAAGTCAGACAGGGACAGGAAAGTATGCTCATTGGTGGCCTACTATTGTCTACAGAATTAAAATCGGGACACTGCCTATAGTGACCGCTGCCTCTGAACTGGGTATGGCTAGTAGAACCAGTGTAAAAAAAAATATTAATTGCTATCCACCACAATAAGCTAGCCTGTTTAGGAACAAAAAGAGTTTTAGCTAGAATTTAGTGTAGAAAATTATTTCTATAATGAAATGGCTGAATAGCTAAACTAGAGAAGAGTCAGAATATAAATGCTAATACTAATACCTCATCTACCAGACAGTGTTTCCAGTAGCCTACAGTACGGTCCTGCTTGCATACGATACTTTAGTTAACAGGTTATATGTAGGTAACCCACATGTACAAGCACTACAATGCTAAATCAAGAGATATCGAACAGAAGGAGCCCTAAACTCATTTCGGTGATTATGTAGCACCATTGTCACTAGAAAAAAACAAAAACATTTAATACACTCTGCAATTGTATGAAACTCCCAGCTGCTTAAAGCGGCACTGTCATGCCGAATCTCGTTTTTTTTTTAACCCCCCTCCCGCCTCCACTACATCCAATTGACCCACTAGTCACCCCCAAATGCCCCTAAGCCCCCCACATTACCTATTTTTAATCCTTATTTTCTGCCCCGATCTTGATTCAGGGCGCCGCCATCTTTGTGTGGGTAGATGAAGTCCCTGTGGGACACGTCATCAGCCCACACTAGACAGACTGTGAGATTCCCGCACATGCCCAGTGAAACACCTGGAAATGCGAACGGGAATTTCATCTATTCACTCATTCATCAGACAGGCGAATGAGTGAAT